CGGGAAATTGGTGAGCGTCGTTGATTGCGGCAGACTGGCGGCTGTCTTTTTCAACTTTTCCAGCGTCTGAAAGTGATCAGACAGTAAAAATAAAAACGCATGAAGACAACAAATGCCTGCAAAAAAGATTCTGCTGCATATGTGTAAAGGAACAGTCCGGTTTATACAACGTCAATCTAAGCAAAGGCTGAAAATCCGCCAAAATGTTAACGAACAGAGAAATATTTACCTTTTTTTCTGTTTAGCGTTATTGCTTTTCATTAACTCCGTCCAGATATTAGACACAGTTCATTCCAGTCGATTCAACTTACTGCTGTGTTTCTTCCAGTGTAGTAAGTGTGCGTTTTTATTGAAACTCAAACCAAAAGATAATGGATAGCGATGTGCAAGCTTTATGTGCATGCTTCAGAACCAGCATATGGCACCTAGGAAGTAGTCTACACTCAGATATATTGATAGTCGTACCAAAGGCCTAAGTTCGCCGAGTATAATTCCACCCTGCCCTCCTCCACGGCTTCTCAAGGATGTGCTGACTTTGTTTGAGAAATATCAGCAGTTGCCTTGAAAGACGAGCTGAACAGCGTAAGAGTTAACGGGCCTGTTTTTGCACTGTGGGGTTATTTTAGTCTCAGACTTGATTCATTCACGAGACTAGGATCAATCTGTTGTGGTATTTGTAGATTTGAATCTACTTCTGGTAGGTCGCCGGATTCGAGCCCACCGCCTTATGTGGCATTGGACCCCACGCGAGGCTTCCATAAAATACTTCAATTCATGTGCATGTACTTGTACTTTAAGGCTGGTCCGCGTCGTGTTTGACGGAGGAACTTCCCACTAGACTTTTTAGACAATGACTTGTTGTCTATTCTCTTATAGTCAGAATTCAGTCTGATCTTTGCTAGATGGGCACCTTTTGAAACTTTTCTTCGTCAGCCTCTGTGGAACGCCCCGATTATCGCTCCTGAGACAACTAAGAATAAGGGGAGCTATTATCCCCAAACATTAGTAACAGCATACTCATCGGTCGGTCCAATTAGCTAAAAAACTACGTCAAAACTACTATTCACATGTTCCCAGCAGGTCTGTGATCGCTACGAAATCCAACAGATGTCTGCTACTGATAGAAGTGAACAGGTGAATTCCAGGAAGAAGTTCAGTAGTAGAACATGCAATCGCTGGAACAAGAAGTCTGTTGGCCTAAATTTTGGATTCTGGCTTGATTCCCTTCAGCAATTTTCTCCGATGATGGGTGCAGGCCAGAATCCGAAACGTCAGACCAATAGACTTCTTACTTCAGCATTCGCCTTGTTTACTTTTGAGCTTTCTGTTAGACAAATTTTCATCGGGGAGACGTGCCTATCTGGACCCTGCCCTAAAATACCTTTAAGGCATTAAAACAAACACACAGTGCAAATATGCCTTTTTATTTAAAGACACCGTGTCTTATCTCCCAAAAGGCTTTTTATACCGCTATGCCCATTTAACAGCTGGGCTTATGCCACAGATGAATGGGGACAGGGTGCGAATTTCTGCGTCTCATCATTACCCTCGAAATATCTGGTTGTAGTTGCGCATACGGAAACATCGGTTACACGAAAGGATAAGCAAACACATGTGGTGGCTCACTCTGCGCAGGCAGGCATGTGCCGAAGCTCACCGCCACCAACGAGTACACATGCGCTGGCCGCCTACGCACATCCGTCTAGCTAATCCGTCTGACCAATCACCTGTCACGATGATGTTGCGATTCCCGTGGCCAACTTAATGCAGACGCGACGCTGTAGCCGGTGGTTGCTCGCTCATTTGACAGTCAAATTCCT